ATTGGCTCATAGTATTCCCTATCTGCTCCAACAGTCTGAAGTCAGAATGAATACAGACCATCATAGGGCTGATTTCAAAAAACGTCAGAGGGATTGCAGAGTAGTGATAGTACCATCTAGAAGGGCTTAGTCTGTTACCAAACATGTATTGCTACAAAATGCTAAAAGGTAGGGGTTTTTTTTTCAAACCACAAACCTATTAGCAAAAAGCTTAAGCCTTACCTTGGGGATCTATTCCTTTGCTTTCACTGATATAAAACAGTCCCTATTCTTCCCTTCATGAATCTACAAAATGCAAATGTGAGCAGACTACATCTTCCTGGAAGGTGCTTCTTTGATAAAATAAAAATATTTCATTCACTCACTTAATACAAAGATTACTTTCCAGCCATAAGGTAAAAGCTGCCTTGATACAACATTGGAAAATATATTGACAATTCAAGAATTTTCTTTTACACTTGTGTAGCAGCTATTTCAAAACAACATACTGTAATTTAGTTAAATGTTATAATGTTAAGCAAGAATATATATATTCTTGCTTAACAATATAACATATATATATATAAAATAAAAGTATGTATCACATAAGTATAATTGGTAAAGCATACTTGGTTGAAGGTTTTCACTGAGAGTCTAGTCTGAGGTTATATCTACCTATTGCTTCAAGTGATTGCAGTTATGCAATGGTACACAAGCGGACAAAAGTTTCCATCCTTACGACTCCAAATTCAAGTGCATAACTGGCACTATTGAGCAAGTTCATAAGCCTCCATGAACTCTGCACACTTTAGAAAAAGCCTTCCTTAAAATATATTTGCCTGCAGAAGCAAGCTTCTGTTAGGAACAATTTTCTTTTTTGTATTATATTTTTTTTAAAAAAAAATCCACATGATTTGGATATGGTGAATTTCTAAATATTTAAGTGAGGGAAAAATTTGATCCCCTGCTGATTTTGTACATTTGCCCACTGACAAAAAAATGATCAGTCTACAATTTTAATGGTAGGTTTATTTTAACAGTGAGAGACAGAATAATAACAACAACAAAAAAATCCAGAAAAAGGCATTTCAAAAAAGTTATAAATTGATTTGCATTTTAATGAATGAAAGGACTGAAATCCTGCAGCGCTCGCAAGGTCCCCCTGCTCACATGTACAGGCCCGCCTGGCAAAGTTTGGTGGAAACATTATGCTTTGGGGGTTTCTTCTGCTAAGGGGACAGGACAACTTTACCGCATCAAAGGGACAATAGACCATGAACCGTGAAATCTTGGGTGAGAACCTCCTTCCCTCAGTCAGGGCATTGAAAATGGGTCATGGATGGGTGTTCCAGCATGACAATGACTCAAAACACACGGCCAAGTTAACAAAGGAGTGGCTCAAGAAGAAGTACATTAAGGTCCTGGCCTAGCCAGTCTGCAGACCTTAATCCCATAGAAAATCTGTGGAGGGAGCTGAAGGTTTGAGCTGCCAAATGTCAGCCTCGAAACCTTAATGACTTGGAGAGGCTCTGCAAAGAGGAATGGGACAAAATCCCTCCTGAGATATTTGCAAACCTGGTGGCCAACTACAAGAAACATCTGACCTCTGTGACTGCCAACAAGGATTTTGCCACCAAGTACTAAGTCATGATTTGCGAAGGGGTCAAATACTTATTTCACTCATTAAAATGCAAATCAATTTATAACTTTTTTGAAATGCGCTTTTCAGGATTTTTTTTGTTGTTATTCTGTCTCTCACTGTTAAAATAAACCTACCATTAAAATTATAGACTGATCATTTCTTCATCAGTGGGCAAATGTACAAAATCAGCAGGGGATCAAATATTTTTTCCCCTCAGTGTAAATGATTCTCAGTAATATGTTTAGGCTAAAGATGCTTATTAGAGTTTATCTTTGTGATATAACCCCTTGGACTGAACTTTTGAGATAGGAACCTTACTAACTCATTAACAGGTGAGATACAAACAAGATACAATTGTACAATACTGCACAATAGTCGTCCAAGAGTAATAATCAAGTAAAAAGCTTTTATAAGAATTCTGTGAAACTTGGTAACTAATGCCAGTTTTTGCATATTCATAGAACTCTTTGTAAAATATACAGTACCTAGCAGGTTTAGAATTCACTAAATTTGAAGAGAATTTTCACCAAGCACAAACCACTTTCCCTTTATACTGGAGTAGAAGGAAACACAATCCGACATACTTGAGGTGCTTGAAAACTATTAATTAAAAGTTAATTATTGCCATAGGAGGATCAAGACTTGCCTACCAAAGAAGATGAGACATCTAATTTGTAGTAAACAGAGTGATTCAGTAACTACAATGTGACTCCAGCAATAGCACCATACCAGAGATTCATTTCCTGTGAAAAAGGTTGAAGCAGATTAATCTGAGCCATTACTGATTCAAAATAAGCTATGCTGAAGTTCCACTGAAATAATTTAACCTGCATCCTGGTAACTGCATTTGGGACTAGAGGGTAGTCATTGCAAAACCTATTATTGGAATATTTCAAACTGCTCTGCAATGTGGTTCCTAAAGATTACCGACCAAAAGGGTCTATACCATTTTAATAGCTATTTTCATTGCTCCTGGAGTTACACAGCAAATATAATTATCAGTTTAAAGATATGAAAAAGGGTTCCTAAAAAGTTCTTGAATATCTTACCAAGCAGAAATCTGGATTATGAATGCTAACTAATGTACAAGCAAATAAACTGTATTCAAATTAAATACTGAAAATAAAATCCATAAATGCTGGAACTGCTACCCAACACAATCTCTTACATTCCAGTCTTTGAAATAGGCCACATCTACCTGCTGATGGAGTGGCATCCTTACCCAGGATAAATTTTCCTTTCTTTTTGCATTTCTCTACCTCTGGTGCAGACAGTTGGGAAAACCTTTTATAGAACATCTGAGGGAATTCACTTAGAAGGAGAAAGTCTTATGCCATGAGACTGTATTCACTTTATTGTTCACCTGTTTCATCCAAGCAATTTTTAAAAAGACTTTTATACTAATATTGCATGTAAAGTGAAAAGAGTGTCAGAAAAAAACATAAATTTACATCAGTATAAATCATTACCTAAAACTAGTACAGATTTGAAATGAAATGCATATAATAAACTACAACAGAAATAGCTTGATAAGCCTTGGCAATATTATCCCGAGAAGAAAGCACAGAGTGTACAACATCTGAAATGGGAGGGGTTTTTAGCAATCCAAAAGAAGGCAAGAGTAACACTTCTCTCTGTAGAAATCTAATCTAATCTAATCTAATCTAATCTAATCTATGTAGTAATGGTCTCCTCTTCAATTTGTTCTCTACCAGGCTACAAATGATAGGGTTATGCATTATACTAAACCATAAAGTGGTTTAGTTGATTAAGCAAATTATGGAAACTCAGCCATTACGGCTTATGACAGTGCAATGTGTGAAGTCAGTCATGGAATATTCAACAAAACATGCTTAGGTATAACATAGGAACTTCTGCAGCAGTCTGCGAGTCCTTCTTGTTGAAATCTCATTGCTGCTTAAGCAGAACAATCAGGATTACCACACTGAATTCCCATCTGATCCTCAACAGTGCTAATGAGGACTTTGATAGTTGACATGGGCAGTCATAGATGATATCTGAGCTACAGGTGTCCTTAAAGACATAGAAAAGAAATAGCTAAAAGAAACTTTTGCCCTTTAAACTCAAGGGAGAGTTTAGTAAGTTTAGAAAGTAAAAGGGCACTGCAGAAATTGATATGGACGATCTGGTGGTTGTCAAAGCCCTTCCTTCATGCCTCTTATTTGGCTCCAACTACCCTTCTATGTAACAAGTTGCAGCTAGAGGTTAGACTCGTTAGAGCATGAGTTCTATTATTGTATGAATCAGAGCCCACCAACTCACATGTTCACAATTATACTATTGAGACTATTTATCTCTGGAAATTATTCCTTACAATTGAGGTTTCCCTTTTGTCCCACCAACCTCAGGGGCTCCTCAGGCAGTATCAGAGCTTGAAGACTAATAAATATAAAATAGCATAACAAAAACTTTTATAAAAAAAACTATAACCATATGCTGCTGTTTTAAAACCAAAGCTCCTGTAGCAATTAGGGCCTATTTTATCCAATATACTGATTCACAAAAACACACTTTTAGCTTAAAGAATCTTATGCTAAAGTATGTTTATTAGCTTCTAAAGCGCCAAGCCTTTTATACTTCTGGAACATGATCAGAACGTGTATATATAACAACAAAACTTTGGAAGTGATCCATGAAGCAACTACAACTGAATTATACCTTTCTAAAGTGTACAAGTATAGGTCCCTCTAGAAAGGTCATTCTTTGCAGGACAGGAAAAGAAAAGTCCAGAAGGGCAGAAAGCATTTGCTCAACAAGCAACATTCTGAAATTTGTAATAGTCCCTTAAAGCCAATGAGAAATAAAATACCCATCTCTAGAGTGTGTTATCTTGACTCATAAAGGAAGATATATTTTTTTTTAAGAAAAAGGAAATGATATCAAGAAAAAGCAGCACCAGAACACTGCAGGTTCTTGCCCCATCAGTTGCTGGAAAATCTGAGAAAGGTTGGCATGGCCAAAGCAAAAGAGCTGTGCCAAAGCTTTCTCCTTCATTCAATTCTTGGCTGGCCACTTCATTTCTCCTCTCCTCCCTTCCTCTTTCAAAGGAAGTGGGAACTCCTGGCCTCCCTACCAGCCTGCAGATTCATGGGAAGGCGAGAAAAACCTGAATGAATGGAATGAGAGGATTCCCAGCCGCAGAAGTCCAGATGGCAATTTCCACTCAATCACCCTCTGCTGGGTTAAAAAAAAAAAAAAAGGGGGGGGGGGGAAGGAGAAGAACAGGGAAAGCACGAGTGATGAGGATGATGGTTCTGAGGAAGGCCATAGTGTGATCACTGCTGTTGTTCTTCGCACCACCACCACCATTATCCACAACCTCCACCATCTACGGCTAGCAATAACAGACATCACATACCCGAATTTGGTGCTGGCGGGGAGTCTCGGCGGGTCTCATACCTACGGTGCTGAGGGAGGGGGCGCGCCACTACGCCGTGGCCCCCAGTGATGGCGTGAGGAGGACGGAGGAGGAGGGAGGAGGAGGAGGAGGAACGGGCTGTGGCGGAAGCGTGGCGTCCGGGCAGAGCTGTTGGCGGCGGAGCCGCATTGCTCTCTCTCCCCCTACAGCCGCCGCCGCCGCCGCCTTCTCCTCCTGCTGCTCAGCCACCCCTCAGCGGGGAAGCCAAAGCAGGAGCTCTGCTCGGCCCCCCCTTGCGCCGGAGTCCCCCCCCCCCGGGCTGCCGTGCCCGGGCTAGCTAAAGTCTGGGAAAGTGGGGGGGGGGAACCCTTGCAGAGGGCACCATACAAGCCCAGGCAGCCGCTTGTTACTATTACTGGGACCCGCACCGCTTCCTCACTTCCGGGAGAGACGCAGCGTGCGTGCTTACGTCACGGCCCGAAACAGCGCGAGCAAATCAGCGTCGAAAGCCACCCGGGCCGTTCGCTGGGAGGGGCTATTCAAAATAGAATTAATGCACGCTCGGCTCCGGGAGTTCGGAAGCCTTGGGTGGGGGCAAGGGGAGGGTGGATCGGCGGCCTGAGAGGGACGGAGGAGGGTGTGTGTGTGTCTGTGCGTGCGTGCGTGTGTGTGTGTGAGAGAGAGAGAGAGACAGAGTTCGGCGCGCGGAAGGGAAGCGCTTCCTTTTCGTTGCTCCAGCTGTCGCAGTGACTGTGTGCGCGTCGTCGCTCGGCTAAGCCGCGGGGAAACTGCCTAAGCCAGGAGGTGCAGAGGGCGCCGTAGATGCTAGGGCAGGCGAGCCTCCCGCGTGAAAGAGACCACGCGTTTTCACCTTGGCAGATTTAAGTTCGCGTCACGGTGTCGTGGTTTGCAGGATCTCTTTTGCCTTGGGGATTCCGGCAGTCACTGCCAAAGGAAGCCGCATCTGTGCAACCCAGGGCTTTCTGGTCCCTCCCCCCGCTTGCCCAGTGAAATATGAAAGCATTGGCATTTTCGGAAGAAATTCAGCAGCTCTTTGCATGCTTTCAGGCTGACCATTAGATAAGCACACCATTGCTATGCTACAAGCTGAGGAAGTGGGTGGAAGTGGCTGGTTCTGCCTGGCACTTCTTCTCATGTCTGTGGCATTCTCAGTGCCAGACTGAGAAAGACGGGAGCCTCTGCTGTTAAACAACTGAGAGTGCATATCTGCAGGTGGACAGAGGTGGCAGCTTTCCCTTTTGGGGGGGGGACTGGGGGGGAGGCCACCAACTGAGGCAATTTGGTATGGTGGTTAAGTGATCAGGCTAGAAATCAGGAGAGTATACAAAGCCTGCTAGATGACTTGGGCCAGTCACTAAGCAGGCAAGGGCAAACTACCTCTGAGAAGCCTAGCCAGGAAATCCTCAGGGACCAGCTTCAGCTGGTGGAGAATGCAGTAGCCCAGGTTGTAAATGGGGCTGGTTATTCAGTGCATACAATTAGTCCTTGACTTAAAACCGTTCATTTAGTGTCTGTCTGAAGCTACAACAGCACTGGAAAAATGGCCGTTTTTCAAACTTAGCAACCATTGCCACATCCCCAAGATCACACAATTAAAATGTAGATGTTCAGCAACTGACTCATGTTTATGATGGTTGCAGTGTCCCGGGATCATGTGATCACTTTCTGACAAGCAAAGTCAATGGAGAAGCCGGATTCACTTAACAACCATATTACTAGCTTAAGAATTTCTGTGATTCCCTTAACAACTGTGGCAAGCAAAGTCGTAAAAATGGGGCAAAATTCACTTAACAAATGTTTCACTTTGTAACAGAAATTTTGGGCTCAATCGTAGTCATAAGTTGAGGACTACCTGTATATAACATCTCTACTCTGGGAGCTAATTTGGTTGACACTATACTTCCAGGTGCAATTCAAGATGCTGGTTGTCACCTTTAAAGCCCTTTATGACTTGGGACCCAATTACTTGAAGGACCATTTCTCCTCAGTTGTTTCTGCCTGCCCGATCTGGTCAAGCACAATGGGCATTTGGCAGATCCCAGATGTTGTGTCTTTTCTGCTATAGCATTCGCTTCATGGAACATTTTGCCTTCAGAGATCAGGCTACAGGTAGTCCTCAACTTAGGACAGTGGTTCTCAACCTGTGGGTCGGGACCCCATTTGGGGTCGAACGACCATTTCACGGGGGTCGCCAAATAACGCAGTCCGCCATTTTTTTCTCCCCTTTTCCTTAGCTGTGCTACTCCCTTTTATTCTATTGGGTTTCAAAAGCCAATAGGGGCGACTTCCGGTGGATTTTGCGCGCGCGATGGCAGCTACTTTGTAGCCGTCTCTCCTGGGTAAGTGTAAGAACCACTATGAACAGCAGACACCAGCTGTTCAGCGGTTCAAAATCCCCCTCCCGGGCAAAGGGGGGGGGGTAGAGAGTGTCTGAATAGTGGTAGAGCCTCTTTTGCACCCCCCAAGTTTTTTTGGGGGGGGGTGAAAGGAGTGCTCCCACGGAGTTCAGACTTGTCTCCGCTTCCCAGCTGTTTTTGTCCTCAGGGACAAAACGAGCCGCTGCAAACACCTCCGTGCTTAAAGAGAACTGGTGAGTGTTTTTTTTTTATAAACGGACAGAGCTGAGTAGAGGATTTAGTTTTTGCTTTCTTTGATTTATTCGGATTTTAAGTTTTAAGACTTGTTTCTATTTTTATTCTCTCTTTTTATTTTTTTTTCTTTGTTGAAAGGGAAAGTAAAATGGCGATCGGCAAATCTTTCGGTGTTTTTTTTCTGGAAGTTAGAATGCTGACCGGCAGGCCTTTTGGTGTTTCTCTTTTTTTCCTTTCCCTTTCTCTTTTTATTTTCTTATGATTGGAATGGTTGTTTTTGGTATTTCTAAGTATTTTTTTTGGAACGGACTTTTTCTATTTAATTATTTTTTTTTCTTCTCCCCCTTTTTTTTTCTTTGAACTCCCTTCTTTTTATTGTAATGACCCTTTTTTGAAGGATTTTTTTCTGTTTAATTTTTGCAATTTAAGAAGGAGTAAAGCTTTTTTTTAATTCCTTTTCTCTTCTTTTTTTTCCCTTTTTTCTTTTTATTATAATGACCTTCTTTGGAGGGAGTTATGATTTTTGAAGGAATTTTTATAATTTTTTAAGGACTAAAGGTTTTTCTCTAAGATGGCTCCAAAGCGTCCAGGTATTTCTACAGCTTTTAAATCAACAGTTTCACCCTCTTCTGGGGGTCAGCTAATAACTATGAAGGATTTGCAAGACATGATGGGAGATGTTATAATTCAAATTAGGGCAGAAATGAAAAAGATTTTAGAGGAAAATAACAAGATCTTGAGACAAGATTTTGTTCTGGCTTTAGAAGGAGTTGCTTCTGTTCTTGAAAAGGTGAACTCCCATGTGGAAGAGGTAGATGAAAAAGTGGATATAATGGAGGGGAAAATTGAAAGTATGGAAAAAGAAATGGAAAATGAGATTCTTATGCTTCAATATGGACAAATGGAATATGCCTTAAGAATCAGAGGCCTGGGAGAGTCTTTGCAAGGAGATCTGAAAGAGATGGTTGCAAAGGACTTTGCATTGATTTTGAATAAAGAAAAAGAGGGAATACTTAGTGAAATTGAAAAATTATTTAGGGTTAACTCTGTGGTGGCAGCACAGAAGAATCTGCCAAGAGATGTGGTAATTTACTTTGGTAAAAGATCTTTACGCAATGAAATTGTGCAAGCCTATTATAAGAAGAGATTTCAAATTGCTTCACAAGATGTTATAATTTTTAAGGAGATCCCATCTAAAATTTTAAGAAGAAGAAAGGAGTTTGCTTTTCTAGCAAATGAACTTAAAAAGAGAAAAATTTTATTCAGATGGGATGTTCCGATTGGAATGGTGGTGAACTACCTGGGGACATGTTATAGACTTAATACTGTTTCTCAAGCAAAAGATTTTTATACCTCGGTCCTGGGGGTATGTGTATCGCCATCTATTAAGTTTAAAGCTTTGGAAGAAAAGAATGTAGAATTACAGTTTGAAGAGCCTATATTTATGAAAATTGGGGAACCCTTGCTTGAGAGGCCCCAACAAGTCCAGGTTGAGGAACAGAAGACAACTTGTGTAGCATACAATTGCAAAGAAAAGCAGCAACAGAAGAAGGTCTCTGAATCTCTGGGAGAAGTTAGACCTACAAAGTCTTTGGAGCAATTTTCAGAAATGGAAATTGGGAAATTTCAGTTTGAGGGGCACCAACAAGAGAGGAACGGGCAGAGGATAACTTGTACAACTTATAATTGTTTAAACTTGTGTTTTGAAGGGATTATAATTTGTTTATTTCAGTGAGGGGATTCTAATAAATTTGTGTTTCGAAGGGAGTATAACTTGTTTAAGTTTCAAGTAATGCTTAAATTTGGTTTTTAAATATTATTATTAATATTTCTAAGAGAAAATAATTTGTTTAATTAAATTTATAGATTTGTTTAGGAAAGAAAGTAATGTTTAAATCTGTGTTTTTGGAGGAAGTCTATATAGAATGATGATTGTATTTAGATTTGTTTAGGATTCAAAAGTGTTTCAAGTTTTTAAATATTATTATTAATATTTTTAAGAGAAAATAATTTGTTTAACTAAATGTGTCTAGATTTGTTTAGGATTTTTAAGTTTTTTTTTTTGGATAGGTGAGAAGATTATGAAGATTGAAGGAAATATGTATTTACTTTAAGTTTTCTAAGAGTATTTAGTTTTAATGGTATAACAAAGGTTTATATGTTTATTTTTTTGTATTAGGATAAAGAAAGAGGGAGAAATTAGATTTTATATTATAGGCATAGATATTCAAAGAAAGTAATGTTTAAATTTGCGTTTTTGGAGGGAGTTTATATAGAATGATGATTGTATTTAAATTTGTTTAGGTTTTAAAAGTGTTTTAAGTTTTTTTCTCAATTAAGCCTGTACTTAGCTCTGGGAAGTCCAGGGGAGGGTTTGGGAGGTTGGGGAGGAGGGGGGTGAGGTAGGGTTGGGGGGGGTATGGGAAGGGGATTTGTTTTTGTAAAAATTTAAAAATTTTCAATAAAAAAAAAAAAGCCAATAGGAATTGTCCAGGCTGTCTCTGCCCTGCTGAGCCCGCCAAAAGTTCCATTCTGCAAACGGTGCTGCACCAGTTGAATAGTCCTCGACTTACGACCGGTTGAGTAGTCCTCGACTTACGACCGGTTGGGGGTCGCGGCATTAAAAAGGTTGAGAACCACTGACTTAGGACCTAAATTGAGCCCAACAGTTCTTAAGTGAGTTTTGGCCCATTTTATGACCTTTCAGGTTGTTAAGTGAATCACTGTGGTTAAATTAGTAACATGGTTGTTAAGTGAATATGGCTTCTGCATTGACTTTGCTCATCAGAAGACTGCAAAAATGATCACATGACCCCGGGACACTGCAATCAACATCAAT